AAAAAAAATATTTAAATGAGAGGATTTAAAGAAAAAAAAAATGTACGAGCGTACAGGAATATATATATATATATATATATGCTGTGGCGGTACTCAGCAGGATGTCTGCGCTGCCACGCAGTCAGTCGCTATTCAAAAAAAAAAAAAAAATAAATAAATATATAAATAAATAAATAAAAAAAAAAAAGTAAAAAGAAAAAAACTAGCCCGTTCGGGTGTCTCTCGCAGAGGAATCCCACCGCCGCCGCGACCAGTATGAACACAACAGTTACAAGCCACGGCGCAGAGGCGGTCGAACGAGGGATTCCCGCTGCGAGCGCGCAAAAGTCTGCCGGTACCGATACCGACAACGCTGATTTATCACACCAAAACCGAAACCGACGACTGTTGTTTCACGTTTCATCCCCTATCCGCGCGGACTTCTCCACCGCCGTGCGACGCCACCCGCGCAATATCATCTCCGTATCAGCACCTTGACGAACACATACACATATTATATGGGACCGAGATACGTATCTAGGATTCGAAAAATATATTACGCGCGCCCCCAACAAATTATTATCGTGGTGCTCTTATGCATCGTCAAATATTTTTTTCGCCCGCGCTCCGCGGTGGCATGTTTTTCACCCCTTTCACATCGCTGCAGGTACGCGTACGGATATTGTGCAGACTATTCCGTCGCCGTTTATAATGTACGATATATTAAACGCGTCGCCCGCACCGGGCGCGTGGTTCCAATAATGTACATAGATAGGTTGGTGTACCTACTGCTGCGTCGTTTCATAATCTACTCGACAGGTGCTATAAGATATTTTATGGTTCGGCTCCAAAGTTTTATCTGTTTCGTACCGCTTACAGGCTGCATATTACGTAAAAGTGTTTATTATCGGTTTAGTCCGGTATTACACGCTCGTCCATCTCGTTCTTAAATATCGTTCCAAAAAGTTCGAGTGCACGCATAAATTAAGCAGATAAATATTACGGATAAATCACAAAGTTTAATGTTTGTACTGCAAAGAGAAGTTCGATTTCATTAACAGTTAGCTATGTGTATAAATATATACATGTACGGATTTTCTACATAAACTTTCAAAATTAAGTTTTAATACGAGCTGATGTATAAATACACAACAATAGTGTTAAACGTTATAAACGGACATTTAAACTTTAGTTCAGTTAGTTGGTAAATATTCTTATAAGAAAAATGATGAACAAGTAAAATAAATATATATATATATATATATATATATATATATATACACGCATATATCGATGCTCGTGTTTATAATATTTTAATAGGGTAGAAAAAGTTTTATTGCACCAAGATCAAATGTTGTATTGCTCTTTTTTATAAACAGATGGATTTGTTTTCAAATGACTGTGAACCGCAAATATTAAAATAACAATACATTTTGCCGGTTCACTTAATTATGATGAGTTTATGGATTTTTTATTTTATACGAAAAATTCAACACTACGTCACCGCGTATTGATTATTTCACATTGAAAGCATTTATAGTTGCATCACATAACATATATTTTATTTTTACTTATACTGAAGTGGAAGTACTTGATAGGCTATATATATATATATATCGTTATGTAGAGACGCGGAGAGACGAAAAACTCATAGCTAAAGGCGATGAGAGACAGACGCCGAAGAGCCTTTTTAATGTTGGTCGGGAGTGTTCTCCGTTTTCTGTTTATCTTGCATATGATTAATAGCTTTTTCGATATTTAGAAGACATTCATACTGTTCAACTGTATATTTTATAATATTATTTTGTATTAGATATATATACATAGAAATCATTCGGTAGTATTAAATATTATAGACTTTTAATATTTTTAATTTTGATCGTTGATTTACCATTTGTGCAGCTGTTAAAACATTTCAAAACGACTATTAAATTTCAATACTACAATCCATATAACAATAACTAAGAAAAAAGTATGTTTGTATTCAGTATGAATTGGTATTCACACACACTCACTTTATTATTAAAACTGATATATTAAACATATAGCATCTACTAATATATTACGGCTATAAGACTTAGGAACGAATATTATAAATTTAATTAATGTTTTAGTCACTTATGTTGCACTTAAGTAGGTACATACATTTTTATACAATTGAATAAATGTACAAACTGTTATATGATTTTGAGGTCAATTGTGAAGGATATTTTATCATTAAAATATAAAGTAAAGAATAACGCATTAAATAGCGTGAACGCTAATTATAGTTTTTCGTTAAATAAATTCTCATGAATTCTGAATTAGATCCATGTAGTACGTAATACTGTATAATGGATATGTACATATAGACTCTACCTGAATTACTCGATTATCACTAGTTCATTTATACCTTCTGTAGGAAATTCGCTAATAACTATTTGCATGTCTAACCTTAACAAATTGCATGATCTATTTTGATATTTCCCTTAAAATAAATATATTTACGAATATCCGACTTAACATCGATGTATACACTTACTATATAGCTGTCAGGTGACACAGTATCAATTTATGATAGTAGAAATGATTTAAGCTATATAAGGTTTATGATAGTCATTGTTAATACTAAATATTATAATTATGAGCACACAGAGTGGTTCTGACGTAATTATAGTTATTCGACCATTTTAAATTATAAAATTGCTAATAATTATAAATCTATAGCTAAGCAATAATATATTATTTTTTTAACATCAAATATGAGTTACTCTGTTTATAATGTTTTAATTTTAAAACATATTCAAATGTTTTTGGTATAATTATATACATATAGATTACAAATCGTTTGAAATTCGTTCGTAGAACTATGTTTAAATATTTATATATATATATAGTTCATAGTTTTACATTAGTATACTATCATGTAAAATTAAATGTACATAATTTATGGCTTGCATAAGAATCAAGTATTAAATAATAGATGAATAAAGTGTACATGTATATTAAATTAATGATATTGAATCTTAAAATATTTAAACAACCCTTATTCTATGAAAAAATCGTATTAACGCACTGCTGGGAGGATCGCAATAAAATAGCAAAAATAGACTGGGAGGTCTACAGAGTGTGCCAACCGGCAATGACGGGTTCTAGTCACACGTATATAGTCCATGAGAGAGAAAAAGAGAGTAAATGAAAGGGAGGCAATAATCGAAGGACAACAACGACGACGGTGGTAGTTTTAGAAGAGTAGAGTGGCAGCGGTGGCGAAAATCGATTGCCGCCGTCGGGGTAGCCAGGTGTTTAGCAGTGGTGTGAATGTGTGTGTGTATATGTACATGTGGCATTGTCGTCATTGGCGTTATCATTGGAGGTGGGATTAATAAAGCCTATATATAAACACATACACCTTTATACGTATATACTTTTAATAATATACTCGTATGTACTTAATAGGGTATTTATTATTATTTGTACGATGTCTCATATCGTATAGATATGAGGGAAAATATCGGTTACCTAAAATAACAATCGTTTAAAAATTATTTGACGTTCTCGAAAATAGTGTAAAAATATGTTTATAATATAAGTACTTGCACGCATGTATAATAAACTAATCTAAAATTTTTTAAATTTTTGGACACTCTGATTGACAGAAATAACAATTAATGTTTAATTATATCGGATGAAATTGAAATGTATAAATCATCAATCTTTACGTGAATTAATTTTAACCTATATCATAAGTGTACATATATGTTTTCGAACCATTTCGGTTGACCCGAATGTGTCACTGCGATGTCAAAAAAGGTACAATGTAGTGACGAACAGTTTTTCACCGCTATAATAGGTTATTATGTAAGCTCGTTTAATATATGTACATATGTATATTTCTTGCGGTGAAAATAAATATGTGTGCAATAACGTAAACGTAAATCTGCACAAGTGTATACGTGGAACACGGGTTTTCGAGTGTTTATCTCGAGTATACATTGTATATTATAGTAACGGTTATAAGGGTCGCTGGGCCACCGCGGAAACTATATAAATATATATATATATATATATTTATGCAGTATACATAGGCTTAAACGAAATGCAACGCAAACCACTCGCGGCTCAACATTATAGTGAATACATATCGATTGAATAAATATTGCATTAGCGTCTCTAATTGACAAATACAACGTCGTAGGCACACGAGTACTTGCGAGTATTAATATAAACACGTATAAATATATTATGGTATTATGCACGCGCGCGCGGTTGATTGATTGTGAAATGACGTGTTGTGCGCCAAAGTATTTTTTTCCATTCGTAGGAAAGTTTGATGGTGACGGGAAGGATAGAGAACAAGAAATAAAGGAAGACGGAGAGAGAGAGAGAGAGAGAGAGAGAGAGAGAGAGAGAGAGAGTGAGTGAGTGAGAGAGAGCGGGAAAAAAGCGTCGGCGCCGCGGTAGGTATTGACAAAAGAGCGTGTCGTGTTGATTTCCGCGCACAGAGATAATAGAGGCGCGCGTGCGGGACGACGGGTCCGGTTCGTGTACAACCGAAATCGAACTTATTAACCGACGCGACGCGACAAAGCTCGGCGGCGGTAACGGCAGCGGCAGCGGCAGCAGCAGCAGCAGCAGCAGCAGCGCGTTCGGCGGCGGTTGATGCCCGGGTGGGTCGGGTGGTAAATCTTGGGGAAAAATGGGGGTGGGGCATGCCGGTTGTGAGCGGCGGCGGCTCGAACGGCAGCGGTGCTCGGTGGCCACGGTCGTCGCCGACGCCGACGCTGGTGCTGCTGCTCCGCCGCCGCCGTCGCTGCGGACGGTTAGACCGCGCGGACGGACGGACGATCAGTGCGCGCCGTAAAACGGTCGGTCGGCACGGGCGGCGGTGAGGCTCCATTTTTGTCACGTGACCACGGTGCGATGGGCGGTCGCGACGTGCACCGGCCGCGCCCACCGTGAGCCCGAGCACATGCGTGCGCGAAGCCTCGTACCGCCGCCGCCCCGACCTGACCCACAGCGTTGCCGTCTCCGTCACCGCCACCGCGTACCGTTCGCGCGCGCACTCTGTACGTCCGCCGAAGCCGCGTACACACACACACACACAAACACGCGGGCGCGCGCGCGCGCGCACACACACACGCATACACGTACGTACGCACACGCAGGCCCGCCGCCGTCGCCGCCGAAGCCACTACGCGACACAGCCGGTCCGTCGTCCAGTTTAGTATTCGACTCGTCGTGTGTAGCGCGCGCTCGTCCGTTGCGATCAGCTGCCCGTGTACATTGAAATACAATAATAATAACAATATATATATATATATGTATATATAAATTTATACATATATATATATATATATTTTGAGAAGAACGGACCGAAAGTGATAATACGATCGGAGAGAAGAAGATAAAAAAAAAAAAAAATAATAAAAAACCGCGTGCGCTTGAGTGTGCGGTGTGTTGTGTTTTCGGCGGTACACGTCGTGCGGACCGTTTTTTTTTTTTTAAAAAAAATTTTTTCAAATTTTTCAAGTTTCCCGTCAAGCCGAATAATAATAACGTCGCGCAGTTCCACTCCGGTGCTGCGGCGGTCCGTTTTCAAGTGGTACGCTCATCACACCCGCGCGCCAGTGCGTGTACGCGATTCGCGCGCGCGCGCGTCGTCCGACCGACCGAGTTCTCGGGACGATAAATAGCCGATCGTCGCCGAGTCCCGAGACCGCGATTACCGTCCGGTGGTATCACCGCTACTATCGCCACCACCGCCATCACCACTGCTGCTGCTGAGACGACAACAACGACGGGACTGCCGAGGCATCGCGTACGACGGCCGACGCATCGCTGCACGTATTGCGCGCCGAAATGCGACGTCCCGATCAGCTGGTGTGCAGCATAAGCAGCAGCACGAACAGCGCGAGCAGCACAAGCACGAGCAACAGCAGCAGCAGCAGCAGCAGCAGCAGCAGCAGCAACAACAGTAGTGGCCTACGTTGTTATCGTTTCGTCGTCGTCGTCGCCGTCGCCGCCGCCGCCGCCGCCGCCGTTGTTGTTAATGCACCGCTTTGCGAAAGATAATAACCGCCGTCGCCGATTGTCAATCATTACCGTTCACTACAATCACGTAGACACGAGTTGCCGTCGCTCGTTTTAAATTAAAAAAAAAAAAAATTTTGTTTTGTTAAATTTTTTTGAAATCTTTGAAATCTCAAGCAGCAGCCACGACCTGCACGTTTATGTATCATTTCACTTAACGTAAACAACATTTTACAATGATTTTTGAATTACTGACGTTCACGCCGTTTTACTGTTGATGTTGCAACTTAATTTTCAAACAATTATTTTTCAATTTTTCCTATCAAACAAAGAATAATATCACTAAAGTGTATTGCACGTATACACATGCGTGTGGGCGCGTGTGTGTGAATACCTAAATCACTGGACGTCAAACAACACAGTCTCGTGTTAAGCCCGTTGCAGTGATCTTGTACACACAACAATAGTTTTTAAACGGTCTGCTGTTGGTTTACAAAAGCAGCCACAACGGCGATAAACAATTACATTAGTAATAGCAGCAGCAGCAGCAGCAGCAGCAGCAGCAACAGCAGCGGCTCGTCTGAAAACATGGCTCAACCCAGGGTGAGTGTTTATGTATGTATTACCGTGCGTTTTTATAAATCTACTTATATTTAAGTTATTAGTAATATAACCGTGTCGTAGGTTATCAGCAACTGTACCAAGTAGTAATAATAATGATAATAATAATAATAATAATAATAATAATAATAATATTAATAATAGTAATAGTAATAGTAATAGTAATAATAGTAAAAATAATGAAAACCAATAATGGACGTGCTTAAGAGTTCTCCGTGTATATAGCGTCTTCTTGCGGTGAGGTAAATTATAATACTCGTACACGTCGCGTGGAACGAGAGCCCACGCTGAGGTATGCTGCAACGGCGGCGTTCGTCCGTAGGTTTATAAATCTCTTTAACACACCGCCGCCGGGTACGTTCGAAGTTTCTCGTCAAAACTATTACGTTTTAAAGCCCGTATGGTAAAACTGTCCTGCACAGTAACGCGTTCGATCGTTTATTAACGCAACATAAGGAGCTGTCCCCGTGCGGGTTCATAGGTTCCGGGGTAGACGGTGTGTGAGTGTGTGTGTGTGTGGGGCACGTCGGTGTTATCGTACGAAATAGCCGCGTCGACATGTAATAAAATAATAATAAAACGCACGACGTATATAATTTGTGTACAGATAAAATAACAGTTATAATAAGTTCGGGCGACAACTCGCGTACAATGTGTTTAGTGTTATTCACCGTACGATATTGTGTACGCGCGGACCGCGTGCGCGTTATACAATCTCACTGCGTACCCTTTGAAGTGCTGGCGTGTATACGACCGAGGCCATGTGGCTTTTGTTATTTTTATTTTTTTCGTTATTTTGTCACTTTTGTCTTAACGCCGTCCGCCGCCGCAGCCTCAGCCGCTAACTTCAACGCGTGCACCTTGAATTATACTACGAGTTTTCATTTTCCGTGTACGTTACGAGTAATACAAAACGATCGAAAAACAACAACACATTTTGCCCGGAATAATGTATGTGCGTGCGCGAGTGTGTATTATTTTTTCTTGAATTTTTGTTGTTGTTGTTGTACGGAAATTATACGAACCGCGTTTCGTGTTTTATTTCAAATCACAATCCAGCGAACTTATTTTGTCTTCGTTTAAACGTAACGTTTTAATTTTACGATCGACAATCGATAAATCGTTGTTCGTTTGAATGTTTCGCCCGAATGAATACGTGGCTGATATTAGGTTATCCAACAAGAAAATATAGTGCTCGTTGAATATTTTTGTAAATTAATCGTACTTACGTTAAAACGTGTGGACGACAATGTTTTGTGTTAAAAGAATTATTTGCTGTCATTATGGGTCTTTTAACACAAAGACATGTAAAATACATTTAGAGACATTTAAGTATAATATAGTTTTAAATTATTTTATTTTTTTTGTCGCCTATATAAGTACCGAACTACGATTAAATGACTAATCAAACGTTAGTTTTTAATTAATATAAGTTTAACTGTACAGTATTTTAGAGAATTTTACTTTATATTAGTTTAGTTTTTATTCTTAATTTTAGCTAGCGCGAAACACTCATTTTTTCGATATAAGAAAACTATACCACTAAAAATGTATTTCGATTTAAGACATTTGAATAAAGTATTTATACGAATAGCTATGCGTTAAATTAATATACTTTAATTGATATTATTCCGTTAATACTTTTAATACTAAATAATCGGTGTCTTTTTATTTTTCAAATGTTTCAAATTTTACATTCAATTTTTTATTTTTTAAACTTCAATTCTTTTGTTGACCTAACCTACCTATCTACCTATCTATTTTACATAATTACATGACCATAATACATAGTTTAGAGCTATAGAAATTTTCTTATGTTATATTTGAAAAATGTTTAAGTAAAATATTTTTTATGACTTATAGTTTATATTTAAACGGTCGTACTGATGAATAATATAAATATTTATACAGGAAAAATGTATTTTCCTATATTCATAATATCCATATGGATTTAGCAATATTTTTTTTAAATGTTATTACATCGTTAATTAATAAAAACTTAAAATAATTTAATTGAATTAAGATTTGAATCTTTTACCTTAAAATGGGTGTGAACGATACCTATAATTAAAAATCTATCCTCATCGGATTATAATTTGTTGTTATTCAAGTAATGTGTTTGAATTATTGAAATCGTTATTGACGTCGGAGAATATTAAAGTGACATTTCTTGAAAATAATTTTGTTGTCCTCAAATGTTATTACGAAATAGTTTATATTTGAATTTTAATTAGAGACCTTATAATATTCTGTTTTGTAGAAATAAAATAAATAATATTTAATTTCGATTTATTATACGATAAATAATTTTCGCCGATAAAATGTGATATTCTGAAATTCAGATATTGACGTAAGATAATCATATTAGACATAATATACTTTTTTATTGATATTTACATATATGTACAAATATCATTACAATTTGCTCACTGATAGTTCATTGGCTTTAAATAAATAATTTTAATATACTTATAAAAATAATTTCAGAAAAATTGATTGAATCAAAGAAAATTGTGTAATCGAAATTGATATCCACAATGTTTATTTATTATATATGTAACTATCAAGAATCATGTTTTACATAACATGTTTAATATATCTAAATATTTTTGGCATAATAATTAAATATTATAAATCAAAGTCTAAAGTGAATAAAAGTAGTCTATGGTAACGAATCTCTAGTGTTTCGCTAACCAGTTTGACATTATAATGACAAAATATGCTAGTTAATTATTTATTATTTTGAATAGAAATCAACCTTTTACATTATTTACATAAAAACTATATTTGTTTTTAAATGAAATGAATGTAAAAATATCTAATTTAAAGTTAATGCCATTGAAATTATTATTTATTAAATACTATCAATAAAAATATTCAATCTAAAAATTAAAAAAAAATGTCTTGTAGTTATAATGTTTTAAAATCGTTAGGTTGTGGCATTGATATTTTTAATGTAATTTATCGTTTTTGCTATATACATTAAGTTTTATCTTATTTCATAAAAAAACAAAAAAATTATTTTTTAATTTTTTTCTAAATGTTTTATGTTATAGATATTATATCGTTTGAATCCATTGATGTTTTCGTATTATATTATAATAATAATTTTTATAAAAGCAGATTCTATATGATTTCTCTACTCCTTTGAATTTGTTTTTTTTCTTCAAATATTTATGTTACAGTAATTTATTAAAACGTATTCAATATTTGACTATAAATATCCTAACATCATAAAATCGTCTCAAAAAATTAGTTGAAAATATTTTTTCATAATCATCTACCCATTTAAAACATTGTATTGCGCCAAAATAATAAAATACATAAAATCAATAAAACCATTTTTTGTGATTAAGATATACAGGTTAAACGCGATACTTTAATTCTTATTATTATCGAATTAACTTTGTTTATCGGCCGAAAAATACACATAGGTAATAGGTATTTAATAGGCAATAAGATAATTAGACCGTTGGTATTACAAAATAATTAACAATGATTACTTTGCATAATTAATCGATCGTTTCGGAGCGAAGAAAAATAGTTTAGGTTATATAACATTCTAGGAAATTATTATTTTTTATATTATTATTGTTATAATTCATAGTTAATAGCAGCCGTGATGACTAAAGCTGGTGTAAAACCTTTGATGTGGTGAGCGCGACCGCTCGTTGGCGCAATTACAACTTCTAAATGCAATCGCCGCCGCCACAGCCGCCTTTGGTTTATTTTTTAATTCGTCGTCATCTAATTAATTATTATTTATAATATTACCTAATCTTAATTTTTACCGCTCTGTTTCTACGAAATCGTTGAAATAATAATAAATCATTATAAACGTGGCCCCGGGTTATCATCAATCGATCAAAATATTTCGACGTTTTAATTGTGCGTGATGGTATTTCATGCGAAATCGTTTCATATCGATGTAGATCACGAAGAAGAACTTGTTCATAACCGAAACCGTTCTGAATAACAACAAAAATCATTTCATCTTGCTCTTAAATTGCATAAAATTCTGATGATAAGTAACAATAATTCTGGCGGTATAGTATATCTGTAGTATCTTTATAAATATTTTTCTTATTCGATTTTTGATTTCATTAGAATATAACTGATTGAATATTGCCATGAATAAAATTATCTAGATACGTAGAATAATTACACAGCTTATGGAAGTGAATTTCATTTTGAATTAAAGCTATTTTACTTAATAACTCCTTGTTTTCATTTTTGAATTAAAACTATTAAACTCACTTATGTGTGAAATTATTACCCATAATTAATACGTTTTATCAGAAATCATATTTATTCGTTCATAACATTTTTAGTTACCGAAGAATATTATTATATTCTGTAACACATTTTAATGAACTCCAAAGCTATACAATCCTAAATGTACTCAATATTTGTTGCAACATTCAAATTGTTATTTTTATTATTAAATATTATGTAGGTATATTATACATATATTATAACACAAAGTTATAATTTTAATTGCATGTACCCACATTTGTAAATTCAGAAATAACATTAAACATAAATATTTTTATTGTATATTTTTCCACTCATATCAATAATGCTAAATCACCATAGATTATCAATCGTCTAATATATTTAAAATAACGAACTGAGAAAAATAAATAAAAATAATAAAAAACCTAAAATATTAAATGTATGCCATAAAAAAATTCCTAATGTATAACTAAAAGGAATTTTACGTTACTATTTTATGATATAATAATTATATGTAAATAAAACACAGTATCAGATTTTTTATAATAATTTTTGTCTTTATATTGTTATGGATAATTTATGGTTGGTTAATTATAAAAATATAGGCTTACCATAATCACTACTGCACAATGATTACAAGTTCAGTTAACTCACCTATTTATATGTATGTTACAAACTGTGTAAGTTTTAGAGTTGTAGTTTAACCTGTAACGAAATATTTCCGAAGCGTTTTTGAATAATATTATCAATTTAGTATTTTTTAAACATAAAATTTCATTATTTTATTAATAACTTATCGTACCGCGGGTATCATATTGAATTAATTGTATATTATAAAAATGCAATAAAACAAAATTATTCAACGTAATTTATTCCCCTACAGAGTATTTTGATTGAATTGGAGCCATAAATCTGTTCTTAAGTATAATATGTGTACCAATATACAACAATTAGTGTTTCAAGTTTATAGACTGTAAATTAGTACAGTTTATAGTTAAAGTTTGCAACGTAACCTACGTAGGTTGTTATAACTAATAGGTGTTTAGTGTAAGGAATGATGAGTAGTACATTGTACTATCGAAAATTTTATCCAATAATAAATATTATCGTGTTGAACGTTAAGATTATATAACTCATTGCTTGATTTGTATCCGTATCGCAATAAAAAAATTGTTATAACAATGATGATAATAAAGACTAATGATCCCCATCTACCTCAGCTCTTTTTGGTGTAATATTTTTATTATTGTTGTATGTCATGTATTTCATTATTATTATTATTATTATTATTATTATTATTATTGTAATTGTTATTTTTAACATAAATATTATTTTTAAATATTAATATAATTGATTATTACTATAACTATTAAAATTATTAGCTTACCTTATTAAAGCGTATGTGGTATTTGTGTGTGCGCGTTCCTTTTCGGTTTTGCAGTACGACGAACCGGGAATACACCAGCAACAACAACAGCAACAGTACATGGACGCAGTGGTCGGAGCGGCCGCAGCGGCTGCGGCTGGTAACGGCGTAGTGCCGCCCGGCGTAGTGCCCGGCGGTGGAGTGCCCGGTGGCCTGGGCCTCGCCGGCACCGGCGGTATGTACGACCAACACCAACAGCAACAGCATCTCGCCCATAGGGGCCTCCAAAACATGGCCGCCGCGGCGGCAGCAGCGGCCGCGGCCGCAGCTGCACAGCACCACCACCATCATCAGCAAGCGGCGCACCTCCAGCAGCAGCAACAGCAACAGCAACACCCCGTGTCGTCCATGTTCCATTCGGCGGCCGCGGCCGCAGTGGCTGCCACACCGCCGAACCATGTGTCGCCGGCCGCCGGTGGTGGTACGCCCGCCAACAATCACACGTCCGGCGGCGCATCGGTTGTGGTGCCCGAAGCTCAGAAACGCGACAAGGATTCTATTTACGGGTAAGTCGTCCCGCACATTACGTGAATATAGATAAAACCGAAAGATTTCCCTGACCGTTGATCAATTATATTCCATAAACGTTTTACGAAACCAAAACGCGTAACAATATTTGCTCTGTTGTCGATATACTTTGCTTCGTCGAGCTGTCGAGCCGTTCAGGGCTCACAGTGTCTAAAATCTGAAGCAGTCCGGTGGTATACGCTCGGCGCCTACTGCACGGCACCCGTCGAACTCAAAGTTTATACTACGGTGCCTATTTTATTTTAAATTAACGGTTGAACGCTATAAAATTTTTAGAAATTTTTCCGTACATTTGCAGCGAATCACGACGATTAACGCAGGAACCCCACGTATTCGCAAGTTAAATTTGTTATTTTCCCTCGAAGAACACACCAAACGCGATAAAAACACGTGAGATTGTGGTGGTTTTCTCAATAAGACCGTTTCCATCGCTTTCCGCTCGTATTTTTTTTTTTTTTTTTTATATTTCGGTTATGAGAATAAGCCTCCGGGGAACCGTATCCATGTTATTATAATAATACTATTTAGTATGTTTATCGTATCGCTTGAAATATTTCGTCTGTGGGTACCATATACATAATGTTACATTATTTCTGTCTAGTACCTATTTACGATCATTATTATATTTCTCATTTTTTTTTTATTTTTATTTGGTAATTATCTATTTTATATATACACGCGATAGTCGAATTTTTATATTCTAAAAATTACGTTTTAAACGTCTCCCCATATTGTTATATTATTTTTTTGACGCGACAACGTGGAAAATATTAGGACGTATAATATGATACGTGTAGCCTAAAAATTGTTTTCCATATCGAGCCAGGAGTATATCGAATTCCGTTGTATTACATACTTTCTCGTATGTTACCGGAAGGGTTTGGAAAAAATAACAAAATAAAAAAAAAATCGTCGCGATTCGCGTGTTCGACGTTAATTTAAATCAAGTCATTCGTGTTCACCGCACTGTGCATTACTATTCTTGACCGCCTCCGTGCGTTTAAAGCGTGATGATACTACCTGCGGCAGCGATATATTATTGGTATGATTAATATACACAACAACAATGCACCGCACTTACATTAATATTTTCTTATTTATCGAACATTAATGCTCGCACTATTGTGTATTAATTGTCGTATGTTTTTTTTTTTTTTTTACCGTCCCCTTTTTAGGCACCCGCTGTTCCCGCTTCTGGCATTAATATTTGAAAAATGCGAACTAGCCACGTGCACGCCCCGGGATCCAGGCGTAGCGGGCGGTGACGTGTGCTCGTCCGAGTCCTTCAACGAAGACATCGCCGTATTCTCCAAACAGGTAAACATTTAAATTTTCTGGTCGACTTGAACCGTACGCAATACACATTTTATACACTTGATTCGAGAACGTACTGCAATTGGATAGAATTTCCGCGCGTTCATAGTTGTTTTGTTATTTTCCATAGGCGCGCGCGCGTGTACGTGTTTTTCGGATACATCTCACCACGTGACGTTCTACATTTTTATCCCGTACCCATAATATATATTGATTGATATTTCGTTCCTCCCTTCCTTATAATGTAATAATTTAGATTAACGCCCGGTCGCGTCGACATCCACCCACATACACCATACCGCCGCGCAGTACTATTAACTTATAGTATTACTTATACCGTTCGCGTAGTGATGTAAAAAAAAAAAACAAACAATTTACCGATTTGTGCTATTAGGGCTCGCCACCATCGCATTACATATTATTATTATTATTATTATTATTGTGTACAACCCTCGAGAAAAATAATTTGTATTGTATTTTTGAGGCGGTGAAGGTGTTGTGTGCGTGCTTTACACTTATAGGAAACAGTAATGCGAGGGAAAAACGAACGCCCGCGCGCGCGTATGTATTTTTGCGTGAGTGTGCGTGTGTATTATACACGTATATATATATATATATATACGTGTAGTGGTGAACAGGACCCTTGGGCTATTTTGGCGCAGTATATTGCACGCGTTTTACGAGGCGCGCGCGTACCGTTTAGATAAAAGACTATGTGTTCGATCTGTACGGGGAAAATAAGAAGGAAAAAAAAAATGGGCTGGTCGTGTCGTTTAGCGGTAGTGATTGCCGTGTTACGTGATTGCATACCGTGTGTACGTGTGTGTGTAATTTTATAGCAGGGCCATCGCACCGTAATACTTGTACTAGTCCGTATAATTATAGATATTACAAAAACACGACGACATACTCGCATCGTTTAGGGCGGATACCCAAGAGTTAACGGTAGTGCCTACAACGGTGGTGGTGGCACGTGACGATATTATGAACGATAGATACCGCGTCGCAATAGACAACCCCTAAACGACTACCATATAATAATAATAATAATATAAATAGGTATAATAGGTAGGTGTACTTGACGCGCAGATAGGTGCTTTCGATTAATTTAAGTGTAATATATTATGATTTCGATCGTCGAAACAATAACCACGTGGTCCAATGTAAAATATTTATATAACCGGAGTGCGTTAATCGTGTTGTTTAACACGCTCGTTGAAGTGATGATATTGCACCGCCGTTTGCATGTACCTACTTAATACTTATTGTGACGTGTGTGTGTGTGTGTGTGTAATACATGTTTAAAATACGTAATTATTTGTTGTAATAATTGGAACGAAACTCTGTTTTTGAATTATTTTGAAATAAACGTTTTTAAGAAATATTAATAGATCCTAATTTTTACTACCGTGTTCGGTAAAATAAAACAAACAAATAAAATATTAACAATATTATTAAAAAAAAAATTGTAAAAAAAAAAAAATAATATGCGCGTATACGTATCTATATATATACATATAAATAAGAGGTCCGACTGACGTTGTTGCTTGGAATGTTGTTCATAACTCATATATATATATATATATATATATATATATATATATTACGTATATATATATTACGTATATATATATTTTTTATAACAATAACGATAGTAATAATGTCGTTGGTGTTTTTAAAAAGGAGATGACGAATAAACTTGTCTTAGTTGTTGCTATTATTATTATAACTTACAGAAATGTTTTTTTTTTTAAAACATTTTATACCAGTACTTTAAGCCGTGTATTGCATTTACTTTCACGAGCCTTTTGTTTATTATCCAAATAATTTAAAACGTGTAATGGTTGTACTTAATATATTTATCGAGTGTGCACCTAAATGAGACTTCACTGGTACAGATATTAGATTCATAACATTATAGTGCTGAAGATATAATTCGAACTACTATTTTAATAAACGCATACTTTTCTCTTGTCTATAGAAAAAAATCGATTAAAAAACCTAGTTGTCAATTTTAGTATTTTATATTTTAGTTACATATACACATAAACAAATTCTAGTTAATACTTATTTAAGTCGTGCAACCTTTCGTCAGTGTTTATAATACTCAATATATATAGATATATACAAATATTTTTAGAACAGCATACGTGCAAGCGTATAATTAGTTTCGGTGGATACATTCCAAAAATCAAAAGTTGATAATCAACTGCTATCTAACAGAGTATTCGTGTGTAGAAATACAAAATTTCAGTCTTTATGTGAATGCCACGAACAAATAGAATACTTTTATAGTTTCATGTTTTTCTAAGCCATATAGCTTTAATTTTTGTTAATTAATTCGTGTTTAGTCATATTTTTCACAATAATAATTAAAACAAGTTTATTACGCAAATAAAAATAAAAGTTGATTACACTACAAAACCATAGTCTTTTGAAATGTTCATTTCGAAAATTGTTCAGTATAATCTTGTTTAAACATTTCCCTATGCATCATTAGATAACCGTCAACACGGTTATAGAGTATACCTTGTTTAGTCTACCTCCACCATGCCACTTATTTTGTACAACGATTAACGATGTGATTTATTGCCGCCATATTTACTATCCCCCGTTATTTCTGTATAGTCTTCATTAATCTTACAAATTGTTTATAAAAATACATTTTTATTTTTTACTTCACTGAATAAAAGTATATTTTGACCACATAGCATGTGTGTGTGTGTGTGTGTGTGTGTGTGTGTGTGTGTGTGTGTGTGTGTGTGTGTTTGTTTTCTATCGTACAATGTTATTTTTTGTGCATTTTTTTATATTTTTTATGCAGTTTTTTTCGTTTAATTTATAAAAATGTGTGTACGATATTCTCAAAGAAATAAAATCTGACGATTTATTGAATAAATAGTTTAAGTTCATCTTCAAAGAAATATGTAAAACAATCGAGTATTTTGTTAAATAATCTTATCGTGCGTATTTAAAAATAATATTATTTTGTGTTACTGCAGCAGCCCCACGAATATTATGGTAGTGCCATAGGAAATTCTTATTTCATTTCTGCGGTATTTCGCTGGTTCTTCACGTTTTTACCTTAGTACAGGTATGTTAAGGTGGCAACACATAAATTCTCGTTCTCTTTCTATACGCGTACTTCTCGTTCCCTCTTTTATATTATAATGTTCTTTTTACCTTGTGGCTGGCTGATTGTTGTTGCCTGCTGTGCAGATGCACGCATGTTCTTTTCTTCTCGCGCACTGTACCTTCCCTGGTTTTAGGGTTGGGTCCACGAATCCTCCCTATGTTTGATTCTTTTTTTCTCTCTCTTTTTTTTTTTTTTTTTGCTCTCTATCGTCTTTTTGGGAGGTCGGCATCATCGTTATGCTCACACACAGTCACACCACTGGTGCATCGGGTTAATCGCATTACTGTGCGTGTCGAATATGTACGTTGTGCTATGCATGTGTGCGTGCGTGTGTTCAATATATGACTTTTGTATACATTAAAAATGTGTACGGGGATGCGTTGAATTCCTTGACCTAAAAATAATAATAATCATAATAACATGTATAATGCATTACGTTTGGGGTGCGTGTGCGTTGAGGAGAAGAAAGGGAAATTCGACTTATCGTTTTAGATCGAGTGTTCGCGCGCTTACATTACAAAACAACGCGGTGCGCTCGTCGAAGTGTTGCCGCATTTGTTTACAGGAGCAGTAAATATCGTGCACACCAGTATTCTGTCTGTCCTCGGCGCGTAAACATAAAATGCGGTAATATCATCGACCGCGTATCACAACAACAACAACAGTGGTCTCTCCGAATCTCGTTATCACGTGTAATACGTGCGCGCATAAACATATATTCAAATATATATATATACATATGTACATTTAGATCGATGGACAAACCGACCTTAACCTACGTAATAACAATACAGTCGAGTCGCGATAACTCGAAGTTGAAGGGGGATAAAAATTCGCTTCGAGTTATGTAACTGATTTATAGGGGAAGAATTTTCTAGAGGAATAGAACACAGTTCGAGTTGGCAAGTTTTTCGATTTGTCGCGACCCGACTGTATATTAACAACAGTTATTGACGTTAGCGCGTTGCTGTGCTGCTGCCAGTGGTCGTTCGATCGGTCGGGCGCTCTTTTCTCGTCCGGAAAGAAAATATGGGGGGGGGGGAAAGAAAACCTAACGCGCCAGGGGACGTTCGGGTACACGGACTAGACTTAAAACAGTTTTCGGGCACTGTCGAACGCCATCGTAGGGGGATTCGGAGGAGAGCGTTTAGCAGATGAACATATACGTGTAACGTTACGCGCGCGTCATCGGTCTTGAGCTCGCGATTTCTGGTGCACGGGAACCCCGCCGCCGCCGCCCCGGTGCGGTTCCGAACAGCCGGATGCTGAAACGCACACGCGCGTTACACGCGTACGCACACAAGCGCGCACACGTACGCATTAAATCATATGATAATTAAAGCGAGGCCATCGCACACACGCACTCGCGGTTTGGCCGCCGTCGCCGCTCGCGCCCGGTTGTTTAGTACTTTTTACTGCGGCGGAGCTGCTACGCGCGTGCGCGCGTACGTATAACATTGGTACCAGTGAAAATAGTCGTGTACACGCCGTTCACACCGCTACAGTACACAATGTAAACCGTCGTAGTAACAGTAGACGCACACTAGGCTGTACGTTATTATTATTATTATTATTATTACGTCGTGGTGCGCGGCGCGCAAATAATACACATTGTACGCGGTAAAATAATATTAGCCCCGGCGAGACGACCGACGTAAACGATACCGCGCGTTAACGCGTTACCTCCTCGAAAAACGGCAATTTTTTTTTTTTTTTTTTTTCGCCCTCCCAATTTTTTTTTTTTTATCGCGCCACCGCCACCGGTGCGAATATACTCGTCGAGCGATCCGCGCGTCGACGATTTCGGTCTCGAGAATCGCGCGACTCGAACGTATTTAAAACGTTATTATTGTAACGCGAACTGTGCAGCGCGTAAATAGGGCGTTTACCGTTATCGCCGCAGTCACAGCTGATGGTACTGCACTAGACACAGCACCAGCAGCAGTTATTATCGTTTCCGAATGGGCGTGTGAATTGATGCGAGATTTCATCGAGTGCCGCGGACGAGCGTTTTTCGCTTCGCGACGGATTATACAACGCGATACGGACAATCCGAATCGATTCACGACGCACATCTAATTTTAATACATGCATGTGTGTGTTTACCTGTACAGCGGTCATTATCGCGCGCGCGCGTACATTAGCATTTATTACAATTAAACAAGAATTAAAAAAATAAAATAAAAACGTGACAAATCTGGATTGCTGAATACGGCGTGACGTCCGATCTACTAAAATTTACGAACACCGCGCTATATTATTATTATTATTATTATGTAATTTTGTATTTATACAGTTCTTTAACGCTTTGATCGCACGAAAATCAAATCATTTATAATTTCAATTTAATGATATTTTAATTCCTATATTGGTAATAAATAGCTCAAAAGGAGTAACTAATATCTTAATTAAACTGTTTATTTCGTATTCGCAACCCGTTTTTGTTGTAATTTAAAAAAAAAAATTATATATTTATGCATTCAATAATAGATACACTACTTAGCGTAAAAATAATTAAATGATTCGATGTGATTATTTACTATAAAAAACGGAATAGTGATGTTTTAATTTTAATTTTTTTGCTATTGCTTGTACCTGTGTTCACTTCGTTACTGACCCGTAAATGTTTTAGAGGTACGCAATCCGTGATGTTATAATTAGAATAATTATAAATTCGAAAATGGCCAAATTATCTTCGTACGGATACGGATACGGACGTTGGTAGTGATAAAATATGACTAATTATAATAATAAGTGTCGTTCACTTACGTCTGAAGGAGACATTGTAGTATTTCATATAATGCTAATACTATAAAATAATCTAACATTTAAAAACGATTACGATTCGTGATTTTTTTCATAAAAAAACTGAATTCGTGTAAAATGTGGTTTAAGTTTTATATTATAAACTGGTTATTACTAATGAAGAAAATCAATATAATACTTATAGACTTCTACAGCAACTATATATTCTTAGTTATGAATTCGAGCCAAAGAACATGGTAAAAAAATAAATAAAAAAATATTATACATCTCAACGACGCGTTATATTCATAAAGAGAATGACGACTGATACACGTATAATATATAAATACTATATTTATATACGATAATATGTACTAATGGTATCGATACAATCGTTGTTTTATTTTTTTCAAGTTTAAGTGATCTTTGTCCATCGTCTATATCCATAATTGCAGTTCTCGATTAATGCGGTTTTTTTTCTTAATAAAGACATTTAGGCGGCTGTATAACAAATTATAAGTTTAAGTGAACGTACCATGAATTTTTATTCGCTATCATCGTTTTTATGATCTATTTATATGACATAAAACATATTTATAATTTGAATTTCATTTCAATAAATTACAATAACTATTAAAATAATGCTTATTGATTCAATTATTTTATTTTTCGTATTAAAACTGTAGTTTAGTTCACCATTTTTAATAAAAATACCTCTTTTTTATGTAATGTTGACCATTGTGATGTATATACACATTTTTATTGTGTATTTTATTTTTTCATCGTTTTCGCCAATAATACTATGTTTTTTTTATTTTTTTTATTACTTTTCGTCGTTTATACCGTAGTTGTCGTATATCTTTGAATTTTTTTTAAACCGTAGTAATATAATAAGATCCCCGGGATAAAAAAAAAAACCAAAGGTACATTGTGTATAGCATATCAGAAAAAAAAATCCATTAGACCACCTTAACATATTTCTTCACAACATCCCACGGTCGTTGCGGGACAACAACAGTCGGTATTGAGAAAGAGTGTAATATAATATAATTTATTTGTTGAACAATGTATTAAAATATATTTAAAGATTGGCAATATTTTTTCTCAACACTAAAAATAATAAATACATAATATATAATATAAGTCTATATTAAACGATGACAATAAGTAAAAGTATGTTCGTGTATATTAATTTTTCAAAATAAAGATTTTAGATTTTCGTATTTAAATTAGTACGTGTACGGAGCATTATAATAAATATACTTTTACGCTTGACTCCACAGCATAACAAAAACAAAGAATGATTGTTTAAAAAAAAGTAATTAAACGTTGCTCCGAGCGATTAAAATATTAGTTTTGTGTAAAAATACATAATACAGTGTAATATTTGAATATAATTTAAAATTCACTGGCGTCATAGTAATAGGTACTAAATTATACAACGATAAAAAAAATATCTCGACAAAGGTATAATGAGTTTATTAATTTAATTTTGTGTTCATAAATTTCTCACCGTTAATACAATAACAATAAGTACATGTAGTTTAGGTATTGAAAACGTTATTAAACCATTTTATTATATGCATTTTGTTTTCTTACTCAAATAATATAGCGGTTTTTATAATTAAATTAAACAAGTTACAATAAGAACTTTTCTGATATTTCAATTGCGTTCCGTTACAACACATTTATTTAATATTTTTTTTTATGGCCGAGTAAACGTGTTACCGATATAATTAAAAGCGCGTTACAATACTGTACACGTATGTAATAACGTTGTTTCAAGTTTGTGTACACCATGTTTGATATTGAAGATATCGTATCGTCATCAGAACAGAATATTATGCCAACGCGACACATCAGAAATTGTTGAAAACACAAACTTTGGTCGCATTGTTGATTATTGTTCGATTATAAACTAACAATACGATAAACGATTTAGAATTGAAACGGTAGTTAAATCATAACGTTCGTAAAAAAAAAAAGATGACATCGAGGCGTTATTCCAAGATTAATCCGTCGAAAAAAACATCGTTAACAATAAGAAACGATGTCTCACAGGTTCAACGCGCTATATCGCGCTGCCGTGCGGCTACGGCATTTAAATGTAAACGGCTCGTAAACGCCGGTAGTCGCATGCTGGCTGCTGTTCCTACTACCCCCGTAGCATTATTATTTTTATTGTTATTGCTACTTAAACACCCCGGTTGTGTACTCGTATTTTATTATTGTAAGATTTATAGATCTGTTTCATTAGCCTAATCACCGCCTTCGCCGCCACCGTACGGATTATGTATTTGTACACACCTACGCGCGTAACAATGGCAATTACGATATGCTAATTAATTACACGAGCTCCGTCCGTCAGGGAAACGTTGAAGAATTCCGAATACACCCGATTTTTATCATAATAAAACAATAAAAAATATGACAAACGCATAATAAAAAAAAAAAAAAACGAAGATTACGCGTGTAAGCACTAAGCTGTTTTTTACGCACACCGACGTGCACATTTCGTGTACGTTAGAGACTCATGCACGTATACACTGGTGTATTGTATACATTTATATATTATATTTATAGACGGACGCGAAAAATATGCGCGCGCGCCCCAACAACGACCGCGACGGGTTTAATTGCATCGTAAAACCACTGCCACCACGTCCCGCGCGCGCGCGCCCGCCCGCCCGCACGCCGGACCGGCTGGAAGGTTGACTACAAAATATCGTATCCGCGACGCGCGCAGTTACATTGTTGTTGCGTTGCTTATTGCTGCGGCTAAATGGAAAAATGCGAGGAAAAAAAAAAAAATCCGTACGAAATAAATTTGAAAAACGACTTACGGTCGAGCCTTAATATTATTACCTGCTGTTCTTTTTAACAACCAATCCATAAAATAACCAACGTGTGACAGCGGCGGCACCGGTAACAATATATATATATATATATATGTACATATTATTATGTATCCGAGAATACCTCTGCGCGGCGAAATCACGAAAAACCGAACCGCGCGTAGTCTTACGCCGCGCGTGTCCGCGCACAATATAATATTCTAATGCAACGTGAAAATTAACCGGGCATTGTGTGTGTGTGTTTCAGATACGTCAAGAGAAACCGTTTTACATGGCCGATGCTGAAGTAGATTCGTTGGTAAGTGCATAACGTTATATTATTACTATTATTATTTTATATTATTGCCATTGTATCTCACACGATCGTATTCTTCGAGATCCGAATAAATTCTTTTCTTGAATATCTCGCGCACCGCGCACAATATAACCGTCCGAGTTCGAAACGAACGCTCGACGGCGAACACTATAACGTACCCGAGATTCGTGCCCGCCGTACAATGCGTGTACGGCAGGAACTATTAGTGCGTGTACAATGTATTTATACTGTTTGTCCCTGTCGTCTCGTTCGCACGGTCAAGTGAACAGCACACAAAATCTGGTGTACACGTACACGACCGATCAGCTTGTTAACGTTCGTCAACGTTATCGCGGGCCAGCTCGTAGCGATCGGGCGAAGAACGATGATGGACCAAGAGCGAGAGAGAGAGAGAGAGAGAGAGAGAGAGAGAGAGTGAGTGAGACGGACGGACAAAAATAAAAAATAAACGCGTTCAGCGTCTCTTTGTCGTACGATACACGTGTATAAAGAATATCATTATACACAGGCGTTATTACTATTATTTAATTCTCCGAAAACCTCGTAGCGAGATCGACTCCGCGGCGAACCGAAAAATATAAAGATCAATCGCAATGAGGCGTAACTACAAACTGGAAGGAAATCGGGTATTACCTGCACCGCCGCCGTTCACGTCATCAATGATCATAATATGGCGCGTTAAAAATAATGATATTAACGACGGAAGAAGACGTTGCGCGGTGCGTGGACGCTACGGGCCGGCGACGTTGCGCTAAAAAATTAGACAACTACGCGCGCGGGCGGGTGTGTACAAAAACGACACCAAAACGAAACTTAACTGACCAGAAACTATAACGATTACTTAAGGTGGCCAATGTATAATAGCGCGACTTCACGTGGTGTATATATTAATAGTACGTACGAGCCAGAGAACTGCTGGACCGTGATGGTGGTTGTGACATCGTGATCCGTGAAAATACTACTTAAACAGGATGTCGCCGTGGTATACTCGTGTACACCCTGCGCACGTAATAATGAGTACGGGGTGACGGGGTGGGTGGGAGGAGGGTAGGGAAACCGCTCGGTCCGACGACGATACGATGTTTTTCGTACACTTGACGAAATTTGAAAAAAATTACAATAACAACAATAATGACGAGCGAAGACAATGCGACCGATTATATAATGCGATATAAAATATATTTCTACGTGTACGAATACACGGATGTATGTATATTATATGTTTATATACTAAATATTTTATACGCACACGTATATTATGTTTCTCTGCGGGGGACAACTACTTGTACATAAAAGCAGTTCAACATATGCGCCATCATCGCTACGGCGCACAAGAGTGGAAAAATGGAATCCTGTTGACCTTATGTGTTGTTGGCCTCTCCGCGAGCGAGCGAGTGTGTTTTATTTTTTTTTTTTCTTCCACATTTTTACACATTCCAACACCATACGTCGTCGTCGTCCGCGTCCGCGTCGTCTTCGTCGTCGACCGCAGGGGTACGTGTACTACGCGCGTATTATGTGCCCGACGTCGGCGGCAGAGGGTGTGTCGAATTCGTGGAAGGTGTCCGTCCGTCGGTCCGTCTCTCTCTCTCTCACTCACTCACTCACTCTTTCTCTCTCTCTCTCTCCTCTCTCTCACTCTTTCCCAGAAGCGAAAATAATAATAAAACGAAATACGTACTATCCGGTATATTTCTCCGGTTCGCGTTCAACACGAAAACGCTGCAAACGCTCGTACGCGCGCCCGAGCGCGTACGGGTTAGCAGTCGTACGGTATAGTTGTTGGCTACGGCTCGTTATTATAAATGTACCATCATCGTTCCGTTGGCATTCGATCAATTAAACGTATTATTAATAGAGTTTTTAATTTTAGACCAACAGCGTCGTGTTGTGTACGGAATATGTATACATATACTAACTACATACGTTTTCATATAATATCGTATATGGTTTTTTCCGTAAATTTCTTTCGATTTTTTTTTTTTTTGACATCATCACGATCACCTCCTCCGCCGCGCGCGGTCGCCGCCATTTTCACGTTTTATTATTTTTTTCAATACGCGACGTAATAATATTTTAATGAAATATATGAAAATCAAATATGGTCTCCGGATTCACGAGTCCCAAAAGGCAAAGCGGCGGCGGCGGCGCGACTCACAAATAGCTTTTAATTAAAAAATATGTGGCAGCGATCGTATAACCGGTTTACCTGGACAATGGGAGTCCGAACATAATACAGTGTACATGTCCATGTTACGTTTTACGTACGTACGGTATATCTGGTGGTTTTCTTCTTTTGATTTTTCTCACATTTGAATCGAAACGATAAACCCGTTTTAATTACGATCGTTTTAACCGTATTAATATTATTCCAACGAATATATTGTTGTCTACAGTTCAAACGTATCGACTCGGAGTGCATACTTTACGTCATAATTTATCGCGTATAGCCAAGCCACCAGAGTCCGTTCTTGTTATTCATTTGTTTGTTTTCGAAACAATTTATTCAAATTAATATCATTAAAACTTGTTGAATCATATTCGTTAATTGCTCGTAAATAACGGTCGACTAAATTTTATTACCTAGTTCAACGCAATCATAACAAAACTATTTCATATTTCTATTTGCATATGTGCGGTGGATGTGTAGTACTGATGTACATTTTATATGTACACACATGTGTACGTACATAAATCGGGTTTTCGATATTTTAACAATGTTTATCGTCAATCAATTTAATATTATACTGTTTTAATAACTGTCTCTGCCGACCTCGTTCCCGCCGCCGCGGTCGTCGTACGAGCTCGTTTATTGTACATCGTTTTTATTATTTTCATCGTATATTGTATAATAAATTTTTATAAATGGGTTTATAATTAAATTACACCAGCAATATACGATGCACACGAGCGTCTCGTTCATGGCGTAAAATCTTTTACACACGAGAATCGACGATCACGTTAATTAATTATAACTACCGAGCGTCGATATAATCGCGGATTAAATAAAAAAAAAAAAAAAAACAACTAACATGACGTACACTACGTATAAATCAAAAATAACGTTTCAATTTGTAACAAGAGTAGGAAAGAGGAGGACGGCAACAACAGGACGGCCATATGAATTATAGTCTCCAGCGATCATGTGCGTGTGTGTTAACCGTACGTCAGGTCTTGTACCTATGGAAACCAAGCTCGTCGTCACTGTACCTGTTATAGTGATGATCTAATATTAACGAAAAAAAAAAAAATTAGAAATATTAAATTTATATTTCGCATTCCGTGTGTGTATGTTGTATCGTATTATACTTATGTATGACTGGAAAAACGTACACAATGTAGAAAAATCTCGTAAAAATAGTGAAATATTAATAAAATTAATTGAAATTTGTTTACAATCCTTATTGACCTAATGAAACACTATTTTAAAAACAATTACATACTTGCGTAGTATTATTACTTTTATCGCTGTAACTATATTATATGGCATCTTTTATAAATACTATATTATATATCAACTAGACACGTAGTACCTAATATTATTACTATTATTACTACTACACTACTACTACTATTATTACTAATATTACTACTATAACCGTTACCGTATTACAGCTACTGACTATATATACTACTGGGCGTACGTGATTTATTAATAGTGATGTAAAAAAAATGCTTAATGACTAATAAATCATTAAATACGGTTTTTTTTTTACAGATGGTGCAAGCAATTCAGGTGTTAAGGTTTCATCTATTGGAGTTAGAAAAAGTAAGTGTTTAATTAGAATATTATACGTGTACGGACGGAGTACAATAAATTAGAGTAGGCGCGTGTATAATTTATACGTCTAAAAAAAAAAAAAATGTAATAATAATTTGCCAGTTGTGGAATACGAGTTCGAAAAAAAATAAAAATCTATGATACAATGTTTGTTAAGGTTTTTGCACCGATAATGACGAGAGTCAACTATTTTATTATTATTATTTTTTTTATACACTCACATATATAACATATTCACATTATTACGTGTACGTATATAAAAATGTTACCCGTCTCGTACATGGCGGTGCGGTATAACCATGAAATGTGACCGATCTGCAACGGCCGTGGTAATACTACACCATCACACATGTGCGTTTCTTATTTTTTTTTTATTTTTTTTTGGAAAATTCTTCATAATCCTCCGTAACTAACGGCCCTTCGTCACGTATACATACGCGTATACGTGTGCATGCGTGCTCGGCCGCTGTCGCAGTATTGTGCGAAATATTATTACAACAATAATAACGGTACACGTACCGGTGAATAATAACAAAAGTAGTCGGTATTTATATGCTTTATTACGTAAGTACGTTTAAAAATGTATTTTTCCTCGTGTCCTTACAGGTCCACGAACTGTGCGACAACTTTTGCCATCGTTACATAAGCTGTCTGAAAGGAAAAATGCCAATTGATCTCGTGATCGACGAACGGGATTCGTCGTCGTCCGCGTCCGTAGCAGCTGTTGGCGGTGGCGGTGGAAAGTCCATGTCCGAGCTTGGAGGCCTGGGCGGTCTAGGAGGCGCTACGAATGGCAACAACGATGGCCGTAGTAACGCGGATTCGACATCGCACACAGACGGGGCGAGTACGCCAGACGTCGTGAGTACAAACAAAATTTCGTTTTACGCACTGTAATATCAAAAAAAAAAAAAAGGTGTTTTTTTTCTCTTCGATTTTAAGACCCATCAGCGTTCATAAAAGCCTCCAAATCGCTACTGAAATACGCCCTGATCTGCCGATCTTCTTCTTCCGAACTAACATCATAAAATTTATAACCGCGCAAGGGTTTTTGTTACGAATTCGGCTTTACTAGATCGATTCATATTTGAATGTCTTTTGTATCTTAAAACACAGGGGGGAAGATGTGTTCACTTTCAATGTAATGTTCGGTCGAACGATAACCGACATCGACAAAAAGGGGTGAAATCTGTATTCGTAATGGTACCGGCCGACCAAGGCCGATCTGGGGGGGGGGGGGGAGGTCCAGAGTTTCTAGACCCCCGTCCGAAATGTCTTCAATATTTTACAAATGTTTATAATAATTATTTATTTTTTATACCAACATAAACGTTTTTAGTCAAAAATAACTTGGGCTCCAATTAATCGTTGACTGTTTTTAGATATTTTTATAGCGTCTAATGATAATAATCACTGACTTCTAACCAACGCGCGTATTATATAAAAATCTGACGTGACAAGATGTCAAAGTAATTTTGTTTATTCGATTTTATTATATTTTAATAAAAGAAGAGTATTAAGTCTTATTTTTAACCAAATATCAAAAGTCAAAATCCAAATTCAATCAAATTACGATATACATGTTTTGGAAGTGTCCCCCCCCCCCCGAAAAAAATATCTAGATACGGCCTTGCTGCCGACCGTCACCGAACCCATCGCGCGTCGTCCTCCGCAGTCCGTCCGTCCGTCTCTTTCCTCTCGCGATACCGTCGACGACAATGTTTTACCGAGTATTAACACGTATACGATATTATTGTTATGCATCCGTCGCCGTCCGTTCTCCTCGTGTCACTATTATACAGGCTGATACGGTGCCGCGCGTTTTCGTCGTCGTCGGAAGGACCGACATACGTGTTACAACTACTACCACGTTTATATATTTTTACATACACCAGGGGGACCACCGTACACACGCGCATAGTAGTCACCGAGTTATATAACAAATACAATAATAGGCATATACACTTACACACGCATGTCGGATGTTAGGTTAGGAGGGTGGGTTGCGCGCGTGAAACGGAATAATAATAATAATAATAATAGTAATAATAAAAAGTTGGAAATTCGCGCGCGCGTTTATATTCATGTACGTGTACGTATACAGAGAGCATTGTAACACCACCGGTATAATGTATGTATACGCGCATACATGTATAATATATATACATAAACACCGGGTGTTGTTGCGTGAGAGGAGGTGGCGGTCGCTTCTGTATTATACTGAAGGCCCCCGGTCCCCTTTCTGCCGCCCAGGCCGTGTATACATTTTTTGGGGTGAGAGCGAAAAACTTCTCGTTGTCGTCGTCGTCGACGTGGTGGTGGTGGTCGGCATCGGTGGTGCAGGAGAGAGAGAGAGAGATAGGGAGAGAGAAAGAGTGAGAAAGATGGGTTTTTACTGCCGCTGCTGGTAATTGGTGTCAATTCGACGGGCGACCATCATTCACACCACTGCCGTTGCCGTCACGCCGTTATACGCATATACGTACCCTCCATCCCCCGTTTGGCCCACCGTCAAACCGACGACGAGGGTATATACACTACAATAATAGTAATAATGACGACGTCGACAGGGGGAAATCGTTTTTTTTTTTTTTTTTGTATACTTCGGCTAACACACACGTGGTACATCATTGTGTTTTTACTCCGCCGCCTTTATTTCTGGTTCGCAATCGTCAGACTAGTTTACTCGCTCACAACACACACACACACACACACACACACACACACACACACACACACGTATAAACTCGACCATCATCGTGGGTAGGACCTCGACGTGTGTGTGCGCGCGTGCGAGAAAGACAGAGAGAGAGAGAGAGAGAGAGTGAGAGAGCGAGAGACATAGAGTATTACGCACGCGGACGGGTGGGCCGACGGAATTATTATTAAAGAGTGCTGTTGCCAGAGCGCCAAAATAACCCAACGGTGATCGAAATAACGCGTCGCTTTTTCATTGGTTATCGGCTAGCATTTGCATACGCGGGGATAGATACGAAACGATTCGCGCACGAGTTTGCCGTACCGGTCGTCGTCGATCCGCGCAGTTGTCGCCGTTCGAACGACATTAGTGTCGTTCGACTATTTTTACGTGCTTTCGCATAACGACGCGGACGATTTCTTTGTCCGCGAAGACGCGCATTGTCACGCGCAAACGTTTTAACAGTACCGGGTACTCGCACTCGCGCCGCGCACACTCGTTTTTTTTTTTTTTTTTTCCACACCCGAAAATTTACGAATTGTACGTCGTAAAAGGTATCGTAACATCCGACCGTACACGCGCGTTTATCTCTGCGATAGTTCCATTACCGGCTGCGTGATAACACGGTGATGCACGTGCACAGACATTATTTCGCATGGTCCTCGACCGTACGAAAGCGTACTACACTCGTGTACGGCTATAGTTGGTTTTTAGACACAAAGACAAACGCACGCGGGACGCTATTTATATATTCATCCGTCGTACATGTGCGGGGTGGCGGCGTCGGCGGCTGCGGCTGCGGCTGCGGCGGCGGCGGCGGCGGGATATAGAGCTATTTGGGTTTTTGAACCGCCGAATGTGAACGTACGCGCGCAACCCATACCGTGCGCTGCGGAGAAGATATTTCCGTGAAACCGAACGCCAACGCTGCACCGTAACGAACGGTACCAGAGCTCGCGCACTAGACGAGACGAGCGCACAACGTGTGACATCGTATATTTTCATCTCGCCGTACAGATAAATCAGTGGCACGTACGATAATAATACGCGCGCGCGCGCGCATATGCATATATACGTGTACGTTTATCTCGTGTACATCATGTGTACGCGCGTACGTGTATTAATCGTGGGCACGTACACGGGCCATTGCGATCGTCGCAGTTCGGTCGAGTGGTGTGCGCCTGGTCACGAGTACTTGACCTACCGGCGGTTCGTCGGCGAAAAGCGATCGTTCGGCGCGTCGACCGCGTTGCACCACAATATTATTCGTACCAACTATTTGGTCGTTCGAAACAAACGACGTTTATACGTCACCGTGTTTCACGGGTACAAATGGTTTTTCACCCGGACGTTCGAGAATCATACTGGATGCGATAGTATTATTCACGCGTGGCGCGCATAGTGTTTTTTTGGATTTGATTTAATACAAGAACGTCGAGTCGACACTTACCGCGGCGAGGCGTGTTAACCAATGCGTTTTTAAGTATTATAACTTAAAGGTAATGACAGGGAACTGTATAATGTGATAATTCTCATGCCCCAGCTTTGGGCAAACGAATCTCTCGTATATAGGGTGGTTGTTATTGATGTAATTTCGTTATATACGCGCGCCCTACTCGACGTGTGGCATTTTTATTTTATTTTTTGAGTGACGCTTTTATTCGTCGTTGTCAGTGAATTATTTCATTACATCACCACCATCACCAGTAAACATAATTTTATTAATTTAAATTACTGTGACATCGCTGTCCTCGGATGATTGACGTTTTAAGAGAAATTATCAAAGTGGCAGAAGTATTGCAGTAATTCTCTGAAAATTCTATTGTTAATCTGAAATTTCGAACAAAATTAATTATAAATCTTAAAGTGGATCGCAACAAACGATTATAAGTTTGCTGTCGAAACGTGTTTCGAAATAAATTACCGTAATATAAAATGTTTAAGCGCGAACAGGTACTTATCTTTGCATGTATAGTAAAAACAAATATTTACTTACAGGCCAAAGCTATAATTCGTGTTTTTTATGTATATATTTTTTTAATTTTAATTTTAATATTTGGTAGTAAATTAATTAAAAAACACAAGAATGAAAAATACACCAAGTGTATTCGGCACCTCACATATATACCTGCTGTGCGGATATAATATAGCGTAGTTACGTGTTGCAGGGAGTCGCGTTTTATAGCCGTTATAAAAAAAGTGTTTATACATTCGTGCTGAAATATTAATTACATTTATACATGTGTGTGTGTGTGTGTGTGGGTACTCGCAGCTCGATAAAATTTCCCCGGGAAACGTGTATATCGCGTAGAAAAATAATGCAATTTTCGAAAACGAGTGTAATATAATACGGCGATGAACGTCTGCTAATTAGATAATGTACCAAAACCGGGGGGTTGGGAGATGCAGTTGTACGGGATGAAAATAATAATAATAATAATAAATGCGTGCGTCCGTCCGTCCACCCTGCCGAACACGTAATAGGATTTGTAGCCAACGGTGGTGTTTTTCACTTTGCTCAATTGCTCGTCGTACCGCCGCCGTAGACGTTGTCAATAGTTAATGATAAAAGGGCCGCGTGACGCTTAGTATTTCCCCCGCGCGTAATTAGACGTGTATATCGCGCGTACATTCGTGTTTCTCCCCGCGGTCGCCGTCGGATATATAACCCTGCCACTGTTACTGCCCCTCCCCCTCCCCCCGCACGCTTTGTCCCTGCGCGATAGACCGGAGGCGCAAGCTGCTGCCCGGCCGTCAGTTCGTCAGACGTGACACGCACGCACGCGGGCGGTGTACATACCGCATGCACTGTCGCCGCCACTGTAATCCGATTAGGTTAATCGCCGTTGCTGGTCGATTAACTTTAAGTCAACTCGAACGCAACCCGACGGCGGTGGTGACTTCGGTTTCGTCAGCAGTTCCGCCGTACGTTTAGGTGCCGTACAGTACTATCCTATTCGCTCGCGCTCATTACGCTAATAACGTTTTTAAAATTCGATTTTTCCGTCGACGGATTCGCTGCATTTCGTTTTTTTTTTTTTTTTGGTTTTCGGAATACGTTAACGATATTTCGGTGCAGTTGCAGTTGTGCGACGTACATTGTACACCGGTCGTGCGAGTGGGTGTGCACGCATAGACCTAAAGAGTTATTGTGTTGTTTTCG